GCAGGAATTTCTGGCCGAAATACAGGAGCTTACAGCCCCAGCAAGTCTGTACACCTTATCCTATGTAGAGGTGCTGGAAGGCACGCAGGGAGTGAATGAAATAGTGATTAAATATGACATGCTATAGTTGTTCCTACTGCGATAGAAGAGTAGTTCCACATTGGGACTTCATCCTTTTATGTAAACATCATCATGGAAGGTGGCTGTAACATCTGGCAAGCTTCCCCATCTGTACTTGGTGCACACATTGCACAAAAGGTGAGGGTGGCGTAGGCTGTGGTTTTAAGTGCGGATCAGAGGAAAGGTCACATCTGTTTCTCTCTGCTAATGAGAGAACAGTGAGAACTCAGGATTACAGAAAAACATTTTCCAGTAGGACAGTGTACCTTGGATCAAGGTTATGCAACTTGCAAAATATCAGCTGTTCTCCCTTCTAAGAGTTGGGTGAGCAGAAGGAACAGGTACAGACTTTACACCTTGTGTTTGGCGGATGCACTCTCTCTGCAGCATTTTATGTTTGTGATTGCAAATCATAGAGACATACTTGAGCTGTCTTGTGGATCGGCAGAATTACCGCCAGGAGTAGAAGTCCAGCTGCAAGCCTTTCCCTTCTCAGACACCAACTGGAGTGAGCTGTGTCCTGCCACAGCTGTATTGCTATTGCGTCACTGAACTTACACCAAACTAAAACTTGCTAAAATTAAAACCAGGCTGCCCAGAGAAGTGGATGCCCCATCCGTGAAGTGTTCATGGCCAGGCTGGAAGGGGTTTTGAGTAGCCTGGTCTAGTGGGAGGTGTCCCTGCCCATGGCAGGAGGGTTGGAACTCCATGATCTTCAAGACCCTTTCCAACCTAAACCATTCTTTGATTCTATGAAAATGGCACAAATTTGCAATCTCGTAACAAAATGTGGCAATTTATTTGCTGCATGCAAATCCAAATTTACTGCTTAACAATACAACTAATAATAAATCAATGCAGTAGAACTTGAAACAGGATGTGTTGTTCTTTGTTTATACCCTTGCATGTCCTTGCTATGGATTAATGTTATATTAACTTTCATCCACATCTGCACTCTAAGTGACCTCAAATTCAAAGCAGGGATTTAGGAAGGCTAAATTGTAAAGCAGTAATAGCCATGTTGGGGAATGAGTAAAGCATGAGTAAGAGATGGGATCACCGTAAAGGTCTGATGTTCTGGAGAGACTGATAAGCAAATGGGCAGACATAACTAGTGGAGGAGGAAACAAAAAGGAGTCCAAGGATTTCATATTCTTGGAACAATGTTATTGTTCTATGAATGCCCTTTCTACCTCGTTAACCGCAGCCAGTGAGCAGTGGAAATACACTGTCACCAAGAGGTGAAGTTGCAGTGTGGTAGAGGAAATAATTACTGTGTTAGTGCTTTGAGGCTTTTATTCTTTCAGCTCATTCACCAGCTGAAACAATTCATTTTGCCTGTGAAGACAACACATAATTCACAGATAAAGCAACCTGCAGTCACTCTCTACAGCCCCTAGAAGCAAAGCAAAGCATTAAACATACCATTTTGCAATGGACAGTTAGAAATACAGCGAGGGTTATTGTCACTTCCAGTATTATGACTGATGTTTTCCCACCACTCAACCCCTGCAAAACATGCCTGGATCTCTTATTACTGCTTGCAGTTAAAGCCATCCTTTTCATCCTTCCCGGTGTCTCCCCGATAGATCAATAAGGATGATGGAGGCACAATGTCTCCAGTCCTGTCCCATTGGCATCAGTGGGAGAGCCCAGTATCTAATGCTTAGAAAGGCTCACCATGATCTAGCGGTACATTACCCCCTTCTCCCTTTCATGCCATAACTTTGCTCTGGAGAAAAGAAAAGGAAAAGAAAACCAACATCTTCTTAATAGATTAAAATGTTAACCTTGGTAAAAACCACCAGAAGCCCGGAAAGTATGATCTAAACCCCCTTCTCATACTCATGCGGTGACTTTACATTATCTCGTCAAAACATTCCCAGTTAAGGAAGGTTTTTCCAGCATGGGTTTTTTTTTTCCTGCTTTTTCTCTTTTGTTCTCCTTGAACATTGTTAGTCATTCCAGGCACAGATGACAAGTGCTTTCAACATACGTTATGAGGCCCATATAGGTTCC